TAGCGGGAAAAGTTTTCCGCTAAATTTAGCGGGGAAAATTTTCGGCTATATTTAGTGGGGACATTTTTCCCTTAACTCAGAGGGGACATTTTTTCGCTAAATTTAGCGGGGATATTTTTCCACTAAATTAAGCGGGGAAGTTTTTCCGCTAAATTTAGCTGGGAATTTTATCCACTAAATTTAAGGGAAACTTTTTCCGCTAAATGTAGCGAAGAAATTTTCCCGCTATACTTAGCGGGAAAATTTTCCCGCTAAATTTGGTGGGCGAAATATTTGGCTAAATTTAGCGGGGAAATGTTTCCGGTAAATTGATCGGGGAATTTTTTCCGCTAAATTTAGAGGGAAATTTACCTATAATACAACGCGCGGTGACCCTCGTGACGTCACGTGTGACGTCATCATGGGAAACGTCCCATAATGCACCGTGCGGTTACACCGACGGCGACGGCGACGCCGCTCATGCCGGAAACGGGCGCCTAAGAGCTGCGCTCTAAAAACTGCACATTCTCGTTTAAACTCCTGATGGGCAGGAAATCGGGACACATAGGCAGCTTGAGCCGTCTAAAGTCGCCGAATTTTAGAACAGATATGACGTTCTGAGGAGCGTGTTTTGAATTCCCATTCAAATTCTATACTCTTCGCAAAAAAATTCTACCCCTACGTAAAACGGCCTATTCTCAACATACACGCTGAGAAGTAAGCAAAAAAGTTTATTAAGCCTAACATTTCTCGCCCACACCTAGATTTACAATCCTCGGTGATTTAGGTATTAAATTAAGTCAATCTTATGTATTGAATTTTCAGAACGTGTAGTAAATATTCTCAATATTAGCGGAAAAAGCCGTTTTGGGAGTTGCGCAGGAAGTACAAGTTGAGCACGCCCACGCTCTGCCACCCGCATCATTGCTAGCATGGCCCACGCACAGCCCAGGTACTACCCACGAGGGTTTTAGTTATGCAGCACAAGTCGGGCCGGCCCACGCTTTGCCACCGCGGAGCACACACCGCTGTTAACTTGTCCCCCACGCAGCCGAGGTAGAACTCAAAATAGTTTTACATGGGCAGCCCAAGTTGAGCATGCCCATGTTTCAGCACCGTTGAGCCCAAATAATCGCAACTTGGCTACCGCGTGGCCAAGATGAGACCCACGGGGATCTTATATGGGCAGCCCAACTCGGGCACGCCCGCGCTTAGCCACCGTGCAGTTCGCATCGTTGCCTTTGTCCACCATAGAGCCGAGGTGGGTCCCCACTGGTCCCACGGGGGCTTTATATGGGCTGCCCAAGTTGGACACGCCCACTCTTTGCCGCCATCGAGCCCCCATTTTCGTAAACTTGGCCCCCGCAGACAGTATTGGTGGGACCCACAAGTGTTTTAGATGGGCAGCCCAACTTGGGAACCCCACGCTTAGCCGCCATGGAACCCACATCATTGCCCTTGGCCCCTGTACAGCCGAGGTGGGTCCCACGGGGTTTCATATGGGCAACGCAAGTCGGGCATGCCCATGCACTTTCGCCATGAAGCCCCCATCCTTGTATACTTGGGCCCCGCACAGCCGGAGTGAGAACAATTGGTCTTTTACATGGGCAGCCCATGTTGGCTATGGCCACGCTTTGCCGCCAAAGCCCCGCCTCCGTAAACTTGACCTCTCCCCCCCCCCCCCCCACAGTTGAGGTAGGACCCACGGTTTCTTAGATGGGCAGCCCAACTCAGGCACGCCCACGCTTAGCCGCCGTGGAGCCCACATAATTGCCCTTGGCCCCCGTACAGCCGAGGTGGTTCTCACGGGGTTTCATATGCGCAGCGCAAGTCGGGCATGCCCACGCATCTTCGCCATGAAGCCCCCATCCTTGTAAACTTGGGCCACGCACAGTCGGGGTGAGACCAATGGGTCTTTTACATGGGCAGCCGATGTTGGCCATGCCCACGCTTTTCCGCCATAGCCCCGCCTCCGTAAATTTGACCCCCCCCCCCCCCAGAGCCAAGGTAGGACCCATGTCTTTTTAGATGGGCAGCCCAACTCAGGCACGCCCACGCTTAGCCGCCGTGGAGCCCACATAATTGCCCTTGGCCCCCGTACAGCCGAGGTGGGTCCCACGGGATTTCATATGGGCAGCGCAAGTCAGGCATGCCCACGCATTTTCGCCATGAAGTCCCCATCCTTGTAAACTTGGGCCCCGCACAGCCGAGGGAGACCCATGGGTCTTTTACATGGGCAGCCCATGTTGGCCATGCCCACGCTTTTCCGCCGTAGCCCCGCTTAGCCGCAGTGGAGCCCACATCGTTACCCTTGGCCCCCGTACATCCGATGTAGTTCCCACGGTTTTTATTATATAGGTTACCCCAGTTGGGCATGCCCACGCATTGCCGCCACCAATCTGCGTAAACTTGACCCCCCCTAGAGCCTAGGTAGGACCCACGGTTTTTTTGGATGGGCAGCCGAACTCAGGCACGCCCACGCTCAGCCGCAGTGGAGCCCACATCGTTGCCCTTGGCCCCCGTAGATCTGATGTAGGTCCCCCTTTTTTTTTATATAGGTTACCCAAGTTGGGGGCATGCCCACGCATTGCCGCCATCGATCCCCCATCTGCGTAAACTTGACCCCGGCAGAGCCGGGACCCACAGTGTTTTTAGATGGGCTACCCAAGTTGGATATGCCCACGTTTCATCACCGTTGAGCCCACACAATCGCAACTTGGCCCTCGCGCGGCCGAGGTGGGACCCACGGGGATCTTATATAAGCAGCCCAACTCGGGCACGCCCGCGCTCAGCCGCCGTGGAGCCCATATCGTTGCCTTTGGCCCCCGTAGAGCCGAGCTGGGTCCCACGGTTTTTTTTTTTTCTTTTCTTTACGGGCAGTTCAAGTTGCGCCTGCCCACGCTTTGCCGCCATGGAGCCCCCATTATCGTAAACTTCGCCCCGCTGAGCCCAAGTGATACCCACTGGGGTTTTACAAAGGCACCCCAGCACGGGCAAGGTCGCGCTTAGCCGCCGTGGAGCCCACATCATTGCCCTTGGCCCTAGTAGATCCTAGGTGGGTCCCAAAGGGTGTTTACATGGGTCGCCCAAGTTGTGCATGCCCAAGCTTAGCCGCCATGGAGCCTTACCTTCGTAAACTTGGCCCTCGCTGAGCCCAGGTGAGACCCACGGGGTTTATATGGGCAGTCAAACTCGGACAAGCCTGCGCTTAGCCGCCGTGGAGCCCACATCATTGTCCTTGGTCCCGTAGAGCTGAGGTGGGTCCCACGGGGATATACATTGGCAGCCCAACATGGGCATGCTTACGCTTAGCCGCCGTGGAGCGTTGCCTTTGGACCCCGTAGAGACGAGGTGGGTCCCACGGGGGTTTTACATGGGCAGCCCAAGTTGGGCGTGCCCACGCATAAACCACCGTTGAGCCTACAAATTCACAACATTGCCCCAGCGGTAGAAATGGGACACACGGGGGTCTTACATAGGCAGCTCAAGTTGGGCATGCCTGCGCTTTGCCGCCGTGGAGCGCACATCATCGCAACTTGGCCCTGCACGACCGAGGTCCACGGGGGATTCGCATGGGCAGCCCAACTCGGGCGTGCGCACGCTTTGCCCCTACCTTCGCTAACTCTGCCCCTGCATTGCCGAGGTAAGACCCACGGACGTATTTCATGGGCAGCCCAAGTTGGGCGTGCCTATATGTTACCGCCCTGAAGCCAACATCTGCGCTAACTCTGCCCCCGCATAGCCGAAGTGGGACCCACGGGGTTATTGCATGGGCAGCCCACGTCGGGCATGCCCACGCTGGATCCAAATTTGCCCTCGCATATCCGAGGTGGGATCCGCCGCGGCACAGCGTGGCCGGCCCATATTGGGCATGCCCATTCTTTGGCCACGTGGGACCGTCGTGGGTTTTGAACCCCTATTGCCCACGTGGGCCCCCACCCCTTGCGCTACTTGGCAATTGCGTGGAGCAGCAGCGGCTTTCACTGTTTTAGCAACAGCGCGTTATAAACAAGGCCAAAAGGAGAGGGATCATAGAAGGACAAACAGAACGCTGACTAACAACTCCGGTATATTTTTCTACTTCTTCGTAAGAAGCAAGACTACGGCATAAACTTGTAAATCTGCCCTTATTAACCTGACTTCATCCCCAAGTAGCATAGTTTTTTTTGTTTTTTTTGCCGGATGAAGAAACGGAAGGGGCGCTGACACACCTTTCATCGAGTCGCGCGATCTTCATAACAGAAATATTTTCTTTAATTGAAGGGTCACCACCCCTCGCCGAAACACAGTGGATTTTCTGAACTGGGGGTCTCGGTTGTGGAACCATAGATGGCCAGAGATAGTCTTCTTTGTGTTGTTTTGATGCTCTCGCAGCCGATCGTCCAGATATCTGCCTGTTTGTCCGACATTCCTTTTGCCACATGAGAGAGGTATATATTATACCACTCATTCTGTACACTAAATTAAAGGAGTTTGGTGTTCTCGTTCAAGCGTTTATGTGATGACGGGACGTCGAACAGGATACAGAGCTAGTACAGCTGGGGAAGTGGCACGTTAACATGTCTCGCAGCATCTCTACTCTTGAGACCTAGTTCAAAGAAGAAATTTTGCTTGTAAACAAAAAAAAAGGTGATATCTGCTGCTGCTACACGCAATTTAGTCAACCATGATGATGAAATTGAGCATGTTTAGAAATTTCTGGCTGAATCTCGTTTGAAATTTGACTGGAGTACTTCCTTTTTCATTTTCCCGTGTTTGTTCGGAATGACGCACTCCTATTTTATTCGATCCGTTATTCGCGGAACGCCTCCTACGTTTTTAGGTTATCGCCCTCAAACTCAACATACCATATTGCAGGCGGTTTCCTGTCGCTTAAAAGGGTTCTTGGTATACGCTTTAACTTTGTTTTTCTCCCACAAACCCAGATAACAGTTCATCCATTCTACAATTCAAGGACAACTCAGTATGACTACGCAATACTGAAGCTCGACAAGGTTCTGGACTTCGATGGTGAAGAGAAGGATCTCATGCCCATCTGCCTTCCCTCGTATTACGAGAACTTTGATGGAGAAACCTGCACTGCCAGTGGATGGGGACTTACCAAAGACAGTGAGTAATTTCATGCAGCGCATTGAACGAAATTGCCACATATAAACATTTTTAAATATACCGTATATATAATCAACTAAATGGATCCACACGGTCTTCACTTGGTTGGAAAACGCCTTGTTATGATAAACAAAAGTTGTACATGTTTGTAAAAAAATCTTGTGGCGTTCGCTTTTGTCAAACTCTTATCGCTCTTTTTGACTGAGGACGCCATCTTATTGGTTAAGAAACAATAATAACACGCTTAAGACTAGTCAGATCCTGTTTTTCGTGGGCTGTCAGTTACTAAACTCTATTACGAACCACTTCATTTTTTCTATTTGAGATTAGCTGATTGCAAACCAGAATCTTTGAATATGTGAAACCGCAGAAATCATCAAGAGACAAGATTATAATTTTGCATTGGCCCAGTGCATGTTAAGACTGGTGACCCCCAATATGCTGGTATAAACGAACTAGCAAGTAACGGTTGATTTTAGATCTTTAATATACTCGTCTTTGTTAAGTACAAGCCTTTTAGTATATAGCTGCTCCGAAGCCATCATATTGTGGGCATTTAATTTGAGCATGCATTAGACGCAAGTGCTGCACCTCCAGCGCCCGGAGTGAATTTGAATTCAATCGTACGCTTCGGCCAGGCAGCTATGCTCAAAATATTTCGGCCGCCAGTGTTGCCTGATGAATTTTTTAAAAAGGGTAAATTCCCGCCACCTTGAAGTTTTAACGAAAACATGCAATCCTGAATATCATTTTTGCGCGCCTTGCCCTACTAAACAAAAAAAAATACATTTGGATTTTGAACGGGTGGCAAACGTGTCGACCCGTTTGAATCAAACGGGTGGCAAACTGGTCGACCCGTTTGGATCAACCATGATTATAGGATACAGGCACCCGCTTAAAACGGTACCGGTTTGAAACGGTACCGGTTTGAAACGATCCCCGTTTGGTACCGTACCCGTGTGAAACGTTACCCGTTTGAGATGGTACCCGTTGGATACGGGTGCCCCTTTTGATACGGACGCCTGCTTGGCCTGGCGCGTGTCCACACATTTGAAGGAAGGCACCATTCGAATATTCAGGACGGACATTATTTGTTAGCCCTAAATGGGCATCCTCTGGAATGAGTCGACACGGAGTAGTTCGTACCTGTCAAACAGGTCAGCCAAGTAGGCTAATGCATATCTTATACGCATCAGTTTCATTTGGCAGCAGTGCATTTGTTCCTCACATATATTTATGTGAGAAAAAAAACTGTAAAGTTCACAAAAACGAGCCCGCACCATTCCCTGTTTTCAAATTCACAGCCCAGCACACACGTGTTTTCTGCCTCGGAAGTCAGGTGAAGCGCGCGCCACGCACAATCGAACGTTGAGAATGGCACCAGCCAGAAGATCTTTACATGGAAGAAACCCTTTAAAAATGCACACGCACAGGTGTTTGCAAACACGCAGTAGAACAGACAAAAAATATAGTTTTCAAATCTCCCAGAACTTTATTACATACAGCGTATTCTGTAGACAAACACTAACTTGTAAACCATCTGCGAAATGTGAAGAGGTACTACTGAGCTTCTATACACCGGAGGCGATTTAAGAACCGGGGTAATTCTAGTGTAGTGTCTGCTTTCCCGGTATCCGGGAGAATAATCTCCCTCAAATGATACCGGCAGTCACCACTCATTGGTGGTGGCAATCAATTCATCGACAGATCGTTTATTGACTGGCTGTTTCATCGGTAGATTGCTTCGTAGACAGTATGTATGTATGTATATATGTATGTATTTCTGGCGGCAACTGGCGCTTTTTAACGAGCGTCTATAAAATAGACATGCCATTAAATAAAAGAAGATGAAGAGAAAGATAATGAAAATGAACTAGAAAGTCAGAGAAATGGTTCGTGGTCACTTTGAAGGATCACGAGTCGACTTTCCACCATGCCGCGAGCCTCCCCTCTGAGCACATCACCATGTTTGTTCTCCTCCGTAAAACCGAGGGCCTGCTCAATACGGGTGCCGAGTCTGTCGCAGGTACGATTGCCGGACACTCAAGGAGCAAACGTTGGACAGTTTCTTCTACCTCACCACATGCACTGCACACGGTTTCGGTCACGTTCACATCGTACCGATGCCTGTACATGCGGGTGCGTAAGGCACCACCGCGGGCCTCGGCAAGGAGTCGGCTGCCCAGTGTGTTTCCACAGCAGCGGACGGCAGCGATGTTGGTCTTGAAAGTCGCGTATAGGTGCACGCTGGAATGTTCTTCCAAGTCGGCTCTCCACCGATTCGTCTCGGCGGTGTTAATTTGTCCTCTCACCTTCGCAACCCAATCTTTCTTTGTAGAGGGCTCGTCGCTCATCGAGAAGGCGCCGTACTTTGTCCCAAGTCGATTGGTACGCCTCCTCCATGTCGTGTGTAGGTTCTTTGAATGAATGTATAAAAAAACCCTTCGTGCCCAGCGATCTCCGTCCATATGTCGCAGTCGGGCGTAATACTCCAGCTTGCTGCTGGCCTCCCGTGCCTCAAACGAGGACCAGCCAAGGTCACCTTGTACAAGTTGATTAGGCAATCTCCCGTGACATCCCAGCGCCTGGCGCCCGATCTCTCTTTGTCGTCGCTTAAGGTATTCCCTAATTTCGCTGGGGACAGATGTAACAGCATTGGCGAAAGTGAGGCCTGGTACAGCGACAGCTTTCCACAGTTCCCGGGTTATTAAATAACGGTCGCAGCTCCACAGGCTCTTTCGACGAAGCACATTGCGCTTTCTCAGTGCCGATGTCTTGAGGTTTTGGTGGTGTTCTGCCAGATAATCTGCTGAAGTAGTTAGTGTAACCCCGAGGTATTTGTACTTGGTACTAACAGGGAGCATAGCGTTCTGAATATCAAGGGATTCAAGGCCATTCATGTCTCCGGAGAAAAGCACAATTGCCGACTTTTTGGCATTGAACCGTAGTCGAAGTCGAGTCGCTTCTGTTTCACAGGCAATGAGCAGCACATTCATGTCTGGCCCGCTATCAGCCATAAAAACAATGTCATCTGCAAAAGCGAGTCCAGGAAGCCCCCAATTGACGACGTCTCCATGCAGGGTGTGTTGCAGGGAAAAGCCAACGCCCGTGCGTTCTAGTGTGTAGAGCATGTAAAGAACAGGTGACAGCGGGCAGCCCTGACGTAGTCCTCTGCACACCAGAACGTCATTAGAGGCGACCCCGTTGAACGTTGCCATCACGTGATTGCCATCATATAGTCGTCGTATTAAGCCTACCCAGGGTTCAGGCATGTTGAGCTGTTGAAGTTGTTTTAGCATCAAAGAATGGGGGACACTGTCATATGCCTTAGCAACGTCAAGAAAGCAACAGATGAGATTCCGCTTTTCCACCCGCGAGATCTCTATGCACTGCGTCAGGATGAATACGTTGTCATCAAGCCGACGATCTTTTCGAAAACCGTTTTGTAGTTCCGTGAGAACACCAGTACTCTCGGCCCAATAGGATATGCGCAAATTGAGAATGTTTGCAAACAGCCTGTATACCACAGCTGTGACAGTGAGAGGGCGATAGTCACTCAATCGTTGTTTGTTGCCTCCTTTCTTGGGAATGAACGTGACTCGACCACGTCTCCAATCACTGGGAACTGGATCCTCTCCGCGAACTATGCGACTAAATAGGTGCGCCATTAGATCTCGTGAATCTGATTTCAAGAGCTTCAACACCTTAGCCGAGATTCCGTCCAAGCCCTGCGATGTATTCGCGTGTAATCTCGTGAGTGCGCGATTTATATGCAGCCGCCCCATAAGGGCTACATATTCATCTGTAGAGGCCATCGATGGGAACGCTTCGTTGGGCCAGACTTGGTCATGTCTGTTTTCTGCAGGAATTTCCACATCAGAGCCAAACAGAAGGTAGAGTTGTTGCTCAAGCAGTTCTCCAACACCTTGAATTGGGCCTCCACTGTCATAATCAAGGAGTTGAGGAGCACTGTCTTTGCCATCTGGAGATCTCATATATCTCCACAATTTTTCTACAGCTCCTTTTCCGCCATCTCTAATCTCCGCCATGACCTTGCATTCGTGTGTTTGTTTTTTTGCTTCCACAATGTCTTGCGTGATTGCCTTGTTCTTTCGGTACTCTTCTCATAGTCGTAAAGTAAAAGGACTCTTCCCAAAGGTCTTTACCGCTTGTTTGTGTCGCCGGTTAGATTCCTGTCGCATTTGAATTGCTTGTTTAATTTCAACATCCGACCATGGAACAAGGTTTCGTTTTCCTTCCGTCTTCTTTACGATGGAGTGCTTAGCAATGACTATCCTAAGCCCGGTTGCAAAATCATCATAGCTGCGGGCTTGCGCACGTCGAGTACTCTCTTCAAAATTTTGGACAACAATATCTATGTCTTCTTCGCGCTGTAGGGTTGTAACCTTGCGCGGCGTGTAGTTCCGAGTTTTTCCAACAGTACCAAAGTGCAGGAAGATGCTGTTGTGGTCGCTGCTGGCACTGCACTCGCCCTCTTCATCCACAACCATTTTTTGAAGACGCCTGCCAAGTCTGTTTGACGCGAGTGCATAATCTATGCAGGTCCGATGGTCTCGCACTGTCCATGTATATTGTCCCTCACACTCTTCCCTTAGGTTCAATATTTCCAGTTCGAGATCCTCTGCCAATTGTCTCAGCCTAGATTAGCTTTTTTTTTCTGCTATAAGTCACTCCAGACTGTCGCCTTTGAAGCGCGTGTACGGGTGGGCCAAATGGGTTAATATTTTATAATGAAGCGTCACATACTGTCGCCGCAAAGTGTGACGGGCAGGTCGATAAATACGCAATTCTCTCCAGTGATACACGCGCGACGAAATGTCACCCACAGCGTGGAATTCGCGTAACGGGGGTCGATGATATGCTAGTGTCGACAAAACGTGTGTCCATAAAATGTGTCTCCACAAAACATTGTCAACAAAATTTGTTTCCACGAAATGCCGATAGAATAAGAAAGTCAGTATCCTACCGGCAGTTGTCACAAGGTTTCAGACAGCTAACGAGGCGACCATCGGTAGAATTCGGAGGAAATTGGCTGACGGGAGAATAGACACTGCATAATTCTAGAGATATAATCCGGAAGCGTAACCTAGAAGAACAGTCAATCGTCACCAAAAACTTGAAGTACGTTTCACAGCCCTTACAATGAAAATAGCGGACTTGAAAGATGCACTCCAAGATATGTGTGGACGCGGGCACTGCAGAACAACCACAGAAAGACGAGAAGGAAGGGCTCCCTGAAGATTCAACAGGTTGTGGCACAAGCTCTCATTTGGCGAACCGAACACTAAAAGCGCTACAAGAATTTTTTTGGCTTCTTTGAAAAGATCGCTCGTTGCCGATATACGCATAGGCCTTTTTTAAAACGGATGGTTTTAGTACGCTTCAATCACATTGCCGCGGGCGTTATAGCATTTGCCACCGAAATCCACGGCAGCCCCACAGGCTGCAACACAGATGAAACCAGGTTAGCAAGCAAGCATTCTAAGATTGGAAACCGCCACCGCTTCATCCGTCAATCTTTTACCACGTGATCCCACTCCTGCCGTTATCCGCGCGGAGAGCGGAGTCAAGTGAAAAAGGACAGACGGTTGATTGGTCCGGCGAGTGCGCACCCTGTACCACGCTTTCAACTTAGGGAAAGAGAAAGAGAGGAGGGAGTAAGAAAACCATCTCTTTCTCGCCTTCAACGTCACAGCGGGGTGCACTGACAAAAGGCTAAACTTCAAGGGACATCCCAAAAATTAATACAGCGAGAGGATTTGTCATTTGCGTCCTTTTGTGGAGGTCGCCCCAAAGCTGATAATGCAGTGAATGTTATGTGAGTGTGCTGTCAAGCAGTGACCTTCAGGCCGGAACAGTGCTCTGCCTCATCACCCGCTTGGAGACTGCAGTCGCGTGACCCTAACCGGAGACAGAACTGGTCTAAAACACGCATAGCGTCTACTCGGAGGAGTGCATCTTCCTGTACCACCCGTGGGTTGCCAAATGGCCAGCCGCGGCACCAATTGGAACTCCCGAGGTTTGGTGGCGGTACTAAAACAAAAATGGCGGGCTACAGAAAAAATAGGGCGGCACCATCTTTTTGGTTCAGTAGGTAGGGCGCCACCATATTTTATAGGACCCTTTCAATCAGTCCCCCCCCCCCCCCCCCCCCTTCCTTGGGTTTCGCTCGTTGCTGGGTTCCTGCAGTTTCGCTCTTCGCTCCTTCGCACGCATGGAAGCCGCAATAAAATATTCGTTCGTTGTTCTTTGGCGCTTCTTTTATTAAACAGGATATTTGTACAGTGACTCACAAAAATCTTCTGTGATGTTCGGCGCTGCCAATTTTTTGCGACGCGTAGAGCTTCGATGAGTAAAGCTGGTCTTCACTGACTTGGTCGAACAGTCGCAGTCTTCACAGACTTGCCCAAGAGCCAAATCACCTATGTTCATCTGAATACACTTCGGGAGGAACCTGTACATTGAGTCAGTATCAGCCAGCTATCCAATCTGAACCGTTCAATGTTTTGCAGGGACTTCACATTCTAATCCAATGCTAGCAAACTATCTCAAGCTTCGCAGGGACTTTATATACTAATCCATTGCTAGCAAAATGACATTTTACTTTCTATGTTAAATTCTGCCGACATAAAAAAAAATGATTAATAACTTGTAGTGGGTCATTTAATTTCACGGCTGACTGCAGTGATCACTGCAAAACGTGTCGCGCGTCTTACGAGCTACTACAGGAAATGTTTAGAAATCAAACGTTCGATCGTAAAAAAATCCATCTGAACAAAAGCGTAGAAGTGCCTAACAAGTTTTTTTACGTTACATTATTATATATTTTGTTTATAGGCATCAGACTTGTTTATTGCCCTGCGGTAATGACCACCCTATGTTATCCCAGAGTTTTAATACTCTTTAACTGACAACAGATCATGAAAGAAGCGAACCTTTCCTTTCGTTCAGGTATCCAAAATTTAACCACGCATTTCCAAGAATTACCGTGCCAATTGGCACAGCAGACGGTGTGGCGACGAAAAGTATATTTAAAGAGTTCTTCCAAGCATAACAAGTTTCCTACTGAAACCAAAACCCCGAGTGACAAGATGATCACGAAGCGCTCGCTCCCTGCGCAGCAGACGAACCTACCTAAGCTCCCCGCTCGCGCGCGTCGGTCCAAACGGTCATTTGAGTTCCCGGTGCGCCATAGCGCACGATGAGTCAAAAAAGCAAGAGGGAAAGTACAAACTTAAAACAAATATGCTTTTCATCGGCTCTTTCTAAGTTTATTCACAGCTTGAAATTAAATTTATCTTTAGTAGGGATCATAACATGTATACACCATATTTGTTTAAAATAAAAAAGAATTAGCCACCGTTCGCTAGTGAAACGATGATGATGATAGCTGTTACTGGACTTGTGGAATTGAAAATTTTACTGCTTCATCCGTCTGGTCTACTCTGCTGTCAATACCGAGTGAACAGAACAGCTGCATGAAGGCCAGTTATTGGTGTTCCGAAGAAAATGCCCAGCGAAAACGTGAGCCGAAAAATTGAGGCTTCAATCCACGCTGTGAAGGTAATTGGACAGCGAAGCTGTGGTATCACCTGCAACGATTACCACACTACTTTTTATGACAAATGCCACCAGTGATGCTCCAGCCTCTGATGTACCAGAGAACTTCCGGTTCATGGAGAGAATGAACAAAGCCAACCTTTACACCGCTGCTTGGAATGTATACATAAAATGTTTAACCCACCAATTCTCAAGGTGAACGACAAAACACCGAGCGGTGCGAGATCTGTTCAAATGTTTCAATTATTCTTGACAACCAACTCGCCTCCTCCGATACGTAATATTGTACTTACAGCCGAAGGCCCTCGTCAAATCTCCAACTTTGTTGTCCGTGTAGCAATTATGCTTTCTAGCACTGGTGACATAAGCGAGCTCAACAGGCCTCCCATGACGGTGCAACCGGAAGTGGCTTGGGACGCAAGCGGCATTTTATGTTTGTAAACAGCAAGTGTTTTTATCGAATGATTGACAAACGAAAAGTAAATGCACTCTACCGAAACGTTTTTGAGTGAAAACTTCGTACGGCTGGCGTTGTCGCGTCAGCTTATGCAACCGAATTTTTTTACCAAGAAACGTATTCGGGGAGCGCTACGTGCTTATCATCCATCACGGTGGTTTTCGAATGGGGGGTCCGCGAAGGCATTCTAGGGGTCCGCGAAGCCCTGCCTCATCACTCAACCCCGGCAATTAAAGTTGTCGTTTTTCAGGTTGAGAAGAAATGTTTGTTTTCAAGCGAGTTTTCTCGTGTGTATCACCGATAACTTACTCCTACTTCCCACAAGCCCTTAGTTATATCCATTTATTAAATCATTATTATATTTATTCTATAACTTTCCCCTCCCCTCACCACGAACGGGGTTCTCCATCATCTCCGCCGATCCACGAAGTGTCCGCAAAACATCGACGGTTGAGAACCGCTGATCTATCACATAGTTTTGACACTTGTTTTGTGGTTTTCTTATTGAAACAAGTGTCAAAACAACATATTAAGAAGTAAGGCGTGCGCAAACGGTGATAAGGCACGCGCGTGGGTTTTCTGTCGACGAACACGAAAACATTCCACTTTCCAGTCATATACAGCTTGGCAGTAAAACGAGACGTGTGACTATTTTACACTGTTAAAAAAAATGCTGGTAGTATTAACTAGGTAAGAGCTAGTAACAGCTTTTCACATATGTTACTAAGTACCTGGTAACCGTTGGTAGTAACGGTCAAGCTAGTAACGGTTACTAGGTCAAGAAGCTATAGCTTGGAAGACATATATTATTAATTTATTATGTACGACGCTACAGCGTGTTTTATGGTTTTATATGGCTGACCATAGAGGGCCATGAAGGGTGATAGCTCACCCAAGGATTTTCCATAAACGTTCATAGAAAATGGTGTACTAAACACACCATTGAAAGACGCGTTCCGCGCATCGTCCTTTTCTGTTTCTTTCTTGTTCTTGTAATCTAGTCACCAACAAGCTCAGCCGTTCAAAGCGCTCAATCTATACCTTGCTCTCCTCGACAAAGAACGCGCGCTAATATGTTTGACTACGTCACATAACACGCAGGAAGCCAAGGGGGAGTCGACACAAATCCCGATCTGCTATATGTAGACATGCCCATCGTGCCATACAAGGAATGTCTAAGGGACTACATGGGCGTGAACACAGTCGACAGAACCACAATGATTTGCGCGGGAACCGAAGAAGGTGGAACAGGGACATGCCAGGTAAGCGATCGAACCATGGTGTCGCTCGAGGTTTTTTGTGTTTGTTTTTTAATTCTCGCGTAATTGGGTTGAAATAAAGTGAAGGGAAATCGTGTAATATACACAGATTGCAGCTATAATATTTATTTAGTCCGCAAAATCACTGCCCAGATTAAGGCAGTTTTTGTGACGTATCGCAAATTTCTTTAATACCCTCCGCTAAATAGGTTGCCGCCTGTGTTCCTTGTCGAAACATCACGTGTACACTAAAACTTTTGTGGCCACAGTAGTTGTTCTCTGACCCCCATCACCAAGAAGGTATGTTAGTCCTTCGCGAAGCTTCATTCAGCTTCCTTAATATAGTTTTCACACCTGTGGCGAGAGGCGGTCTATTTAAACTCGGAATATAATGAAGAGAGTACAGGCGGCAACCTTTGGTTGGGGAGGGCATCCGAAAGCTGTCCCACCTCATAATAGGTGTACTAAATCTGTGCGGTGATTATCTCAAGTAGCCAGGGTATGTATATACATTCTTTGCATCGTACCAAAATTTTACCGCTCAACTTTTTTTTCTTTTTCTGCTCGGTTCATCGGAAGGTGGAAAAACAGCCCTCGTGTTAGTAGCGAAGTGCACATGGGGGCAACGTGAGTCGACTGATCGACGTACGCCGACTCCCCTTCGGTGTGGGACGTCCAGGGAGGTATTTCTAGAAATAAAGAAAAAATATACTTAAATATAGTTGCGTTACTTTATGTAAATTGCAACTGAATAAAGTCACAATTACTTTATTGAAAATGCAATCGGTGAAAGTTACATTTACCTCATTAAAAACGCTATTGATTAAAGTTACAATTACTTCATTGAAAATCGTAATGCTAGAAGATATAATTACGCCGTTGAAAATTCAGTTTATTTGTGTTTAAATTACATGCTTGGATAGGCAAATGATTGATGTTGCACTAAATTGACAGAAAGCGCTATTTTAAAAATGAAAGTTATAGTTGTACAGGGTGTCACAAAAAGAAATCTACAGGATTTTTTTCACCGCAAAAATAAAATAGGCATCGCCGAACGCCCATTCTTTGTCCAAAGATAGCAGTAGAGGTCACAACCAGATGCCAGAGTCTCAGCCCCATCCGACATTTTATTCAAAATTTGTAAGTGATTTTCTGAAAATTTGAATGGGAAAATGAGGTCCATTTTTGCCCGTTTTCGGTTTCTGGTGCCACAGAGACCCATATATTCGAAAACTCCGTCCGCCGCCATTTTCCCATTGATATTTTCAGCTTCGACATTGCCCCTCTTCAGTGTTCCATTTGAGAGAAGTGCAGCTTTTATTTGCGCAAATATTTTCTGCATAACATAGGGGTCTCCCATTGTGTTCCTATAAAATGCTTCAGAGGACTCTACGAGCCTAAACGCAGAAACGGCCTCAGCAAGCAGGTTTGAAGGGGTTGTGCGTTTCTTTATAAAATTGTCAAATATCTTTCGATTGTGCGTCAGCCGCCAAAACACACATTCAATGAGTTAGGTTGCTAAACAAAAAAAGCCACCAAACGTTTCATCGTCGTCCGACGCGAGTTTTATCCTTTAAACTGCGTTTTTTAACGAAGTGTGGTTCCCACGTGCTTTTGTTGTCAAATAGTTGAGAAACAGCCATTTAAATTCCCATAATAAAGAAAGTACCCCAAATTAATTAGACTAAACATTTTACCGGTTCTGAAGGCCTATCAAAACAGCATTCAGTGGCCGTTTACAAAACCGCAGTCCCAAGACACTGTTAGCTTCGGTGCCCTGAGTAAAACTGAGCTGACAATTGAAGAGCAGAACGTGAGTGCGAGGAAAAGCTACCCAGTTTGCAGACAAAAGCACTGTCATCGAAGACCTGGAAGGGCTTGGACATGCTGACCAAGTCCTTCCGGGTCTCGGCAACTGTATTATCAGTATCAGAGACGCACTAGCTAATGCAAGAACTTCGAGGTCCTGACAACCCTCATTTCGACATCGGAAACGCATTAGCGTGTGCAAGATAATCGAAGTCCTGGCAACCCTGATATCAACATCGGAGACGCATTAGCATGGGCGAGGCATTCCAGGTCCTGGAAACCCTGATATTGACATCGTAGACGCATTAGGAGGTTCAAGACCTTCGAGGTCCTGGAAACCCTGATATTCACATCGGGGCGGATTAGGATGTGCGAAACCTTCGAGGTCCTGGCAACGCTCATATCGACATCGGAGACACATTAGCTTGTGCAAGACATACAAGGTCCTGGCCACCCTCATATTGACTTCGGATACGCATTACCATGAGCAAGACATTCGATGTCCTGGCAACTCCGATATCGACATCGGAGATGTACTAGCAAGGGCAAGACCTTCGAGGTCCTGGCAACTCTGATATCGACATCGGAGGCGCATTAGGATGTGCAAGACCCCCGACAGTTTCGAAAACGCGGGACGCGTGAGTCGTTATGTTGATAATTCTTGCTTCGTTCTTTGGCGTTCTTACATGTTAATGCTGCAATCCCATTGGATAAGAAGCAGCAATAAGGTGTTGAAAACTCGCCACTACTAGCGTTTCTTACGTTGTCAGTTCCTATTGTATTCACTCTTGCCTTTTTATACCTTATCCGCCTTGAGATTTCCATGACTTTTCTCTGGGTTGCAGGGGCCTAAAACCCTCGAAACATCTTTTACGGCATGTGCACAGAGTCCCGTTTTACTGACCGACTGCGCTGCGACCTCTTGTGGTGGCTTACGACGACATAACACACTAGCGCCATGTCTTGCGTAGCCCCTAAACACTTCACATATCCATAGTTTTTAAGCATCATTCTCTTATTAAGCGTTATTTTTTTTTTTCGTGGGCTTGGGCGAAATTGCCAAAGCTATATTATCTACCATTTCTCATAGATGGACCGTAAAGTTTATCTCGCAAATGCTGCAAAACCTCCGGTCTAGTTATACGCAACTCGAAAGGGTTCCAGGTCTACCCGAGAGATGGCGCAAGTGTGTTAAGGAATTACAAGAGCTCACAACGCACACGGTCACAATCACATGCCAATGTGTGAACCAGCCTTTATTAGTTCGCGCGACAATCTGAAGACCAATTCATACTAATTTCCAGGGTGATTCCGGAGGACCTCTGCAGTGTCCCAGGTCTGACGGCCGCTACGTGCTGGCAGGAATGACATCGTGGGGTACCATATGTGCTGCTCCAGAACAGCCTAGCGTCTTCTCGAGGGTCTCAACGCAGCTGCGTTGGATTTGGCTAGTTGCTGGAGAGACTCCGTGACGGACCTCTTTTGCTGAATGTCGTGCACATTTATGCGGCATAGGCAGTGTTTTTATGAGCATGGTAAACCGAGAAACATCTAATAAACAGCCGTCCGAGTTTGCATACCTCAAGGGTTATAGGATTAATTCGTAGAAGTTACCTTTCTGCTATCTTGAACTAACAAAACGGCAACTTACATTTTGAATCAACCAAAAATCAATCGACTGGTCTATCCATCGATCACGGTGTAACACGAGAGTGGTGTTTGAACAAAGTCAGTCACAGCAGCAATATTTGCTCACGCTTCTAGCGTCTCCTGGCGTGGGCACTGTCGGTTTAGGGAATTGCCAGAGGCGCTGTCCCTCGCCTCGCAGCCTTGTCAATTCAGTCAGAAAATATATATTTTTAGTAAAAAAAACAAAAGGTGTAATTTTTCGTGCTTGGTTGATATCATAATCTGAGAGTGTGGGGATGACTGTGAGGGACGCCACAGGGGTTTAATGAAAAAGTGGCTTAGATGGAAGGTGCGAGGTCCGCCGACTTGATATAGCCGACGAGTGAGTCCATCATTACTTCGCGACGGTCCTTTATGACCGTTTTCTTGCATGTTTGCAAACACCTGTGCGAGTACATTTTTTTACGAGCTTCCTTTATGTTTTCAATAGGTTTATCTAGTACGTCTTAAGCAAGTTTAATATATCCAACCTTCCACACGGTACCAATTTACGGCTAACGCATAATTTGGCTGAATACCGAATGGCGCGGTCAAATATGTGGGCACGTGTCAGGTCAAACGGGCGCCCATTTCAAACGAGCACCGTTTCAAACGGGAAACGTATCAAACGGGTTCCGCATCAAACGGGAGCCGTATCAAACGCTTGCTGCATCAAGCGGGTACCGCATCAAAACGGTAGAGTTTCAAACGGGTACCCGCGTCCAATAATCACGTTTGATTAAAACGGGTCGACACGTCCATCCGTTTTAGTCAAAACCGGTTGACTAGGTTGCCAGCCGTCTGAATCTAAAATCTCTCTGGCCACCGACATTTTGCGACTTGAGCGACTTTATCAGCCAGAAGTTTCTGCCATCCGCCTGAGCTGTGGAAACCCGGTCAGCGCGACCCCCTGCTTGCATTGTAATTCGGAGTTCGCCGGCTTTTTTTTTTTTTTTTTTTAGGTTTTTACTTTATTTTTCTGTTCAGGATGGTTATCGTTTTGAGCTGTTTCCCACTTTGAGAACCAGGGAACACCAGGGCTTGTAGCCTGGTCGGCCTTCCCAGGAAACGAACGAAGAGAGCGAACGCCAAGCAGCCCGCGACGGGGGCCGTTTGACGTTCTTCTAGTGTTATTTCCGTTGAGATGATCTCCGAATAACCTTCACGAATAGCGTTAAAAAATAACTGATGGGATAGGGTCTAGGGTATGGGAACGGAATAAACACGTTCGTTCATTTGCTTTGATGCTGTACAAAAGAAAAAAAAAAGCGGCAATTTTCAAAACGCGCCAAAAAATATGTTCGGTTGATGAGACTCGTTGAATTTAATATAGTGAGCGGAGAATACCCTTGCATGTCGGCTATCCTGCGTGTCAAATATTTTAGAGAGTTAAGAGCTCCGTATATTGACACGTCTGAGTGTATGATGTCGTAAAAAATTGACATAAAAAGAAAGAAACATTCCAGTTGCATTTGTGCATTTGTTCTCTCGCGCACGGACTCATTAAACATAGCTTTATTTTGCTAGTTTTTGTTGCTCAAAAGAGTACGATGCTTTCTTAAAAAATTAAAGATATTTACAACTCCCTGAAATGATGAATTAGAGCGCGGCTCTTGAGGAGGAGGAAGAGGGGAGGGTACGACGAGGAGGGTATGCCCCTCCTCCTCCTCCTCTTATTCTCCTCCCCTCTTCCTCCATTCCTCCTTCCTCGTGACGTTACTCGTGACGTCACTCGTGACCTTCGTGATGTCTCGTGCCAAGGCCTCGTGAAGGTCGTGATCTTCTCCGTGACCTTCACGAGTGACCTTCTTGACGTCGCTTGTGACCCTCGTGACGTCCCACGTGACGTGTGACGTCATTATGGGAAACGTCCCATAATACAACGCGCGGTTACGCCGACAGCGACGGTGGCGGCGCTTAAGCCGAGTACGGTCGCCTAAGAGCTGCTCTTTAAAGGGATACGACAACGAAATTTCGGCGCTCATTTTTTGGTCTATATGCGTTCAAAAGAGCAGAATCACATGAAACATATCAATATCTTGTTAAAAAAAGTCTCGAAAAGGAATTTTGAAACGAATTAAACGATTAGCAAAGAGCACCTGGTGGATGTCGCTAACGCCTCGTTTGTAATGCTCGTCTAGGAACCTTGACAGCTAGTGACGGAGGTTGTCTCGTCTCCGGCCACGAAGAGAGAAGGGGGGCAGGAGGAACTCCCCTCTTCCCGAGAATCTCTTTTGTGTCTCGCAGAAGTCGCTACTGTCCCCCTAGAGGATTATAGAAGATTCCCGTCACTCAAAATTCGTACAAAAGCAGCCGCTTCGGTGGCTGGAACGACTAGGCCATCCTCTCGACGTCAGCCTCGCCGTAGCTTTGCTCGTCTTGAGACGACCTACGTCACGACTGCGTTGGATGTCACGTGCTCTAAGCTGGGCCTTCTCCGAGCGCTTGCCAGAGTGGGCCGTTTATAACGAAAAATACAGCCACCAGGCTCAAAATACAAACGTGCGATTGTCATTTACGGATATTGTGGATCATATTCAACCTATTTCTGAACACGACGGGAATATTTCAAATTTCGTTGAAGTATCCCTTTAAAACCTCGAGAAATTATATTCGACACAAAACAAACAAGAAAGAATCAGACGTGGTAATTTAGCCGTCCCCAGCGTCCGGAATTGCACCCTACGCAGACTGCCGCAGCCGACTCACAAGAAACCCCACAGCCCAGTGCAGTCGGGCAGCACTAACATATACACTCTCAAGAGCAGGAACACACGCTGTAAATCGCTTCGTTCGAGCCTCCCGCTGAAAAGTTCTTTAGAGAGCGCGGCAACCAAACCGTCGGCATACGGCCGTGGGTCATCTTCCTTTCGTTGTTTTGTTTGGACAAAAATAGGGTGGCCACAATTGATCCTAGCGCTGTAAAACACACCGAGAAGGTCGGCGCCGATATATGGGAAACAGACTTTCACCGAATGTGCATGGTGGATTCTACCGCGTGAAATTCCAGAGCGTATATTTCTCACACTGTGAAAAAGGAGACCAACAAATTTGCCAGGGACTGTGCCAGGGTCAACGGTGAACCTGTACGCGGATGATCGAGACCGAGTTAGCGTTGGTTATAATTTGTGGCGCCATCTCCCGATAGCTGCCGCGAGCGAACGACACACTCCGTTGTCTGCTAGCTCCGCCTATCGGGAGATGGTGCCACATGCATCGCTAAAACTTTCTTACCTTCAACTCCCGTCGCCCCTTCACATCCAAAGCGCTGGCGACGCCACATAACATCTCATAGGCAACAAAGCCGTAGTGCTGATAGAGATGTTGTCATCAGTGAACGCCAACGTTGGGCACACATTGAACACGATGATTGCGTCAACGTTCGACTCAAACTTGACTCGAAACCGAGCTCTGGAGCACCACTCGTTTGCAATGTGTCCTTCTCCAATGTTTTCCAATGTGTCTAGCGTTGGCCTTCACTGGTGGCGCAGAAATGTCAGCACTACGGCCTTGTATTCTAGGCAGTATCGCGCCACTACTTGTAGGGTTGTAAGCAGAAGGAACATTCAGTAAAGTCAACTTGCGAAACTGCTATATAACAGATAAGGGTGCCAATATAAGTGTATTGTGACTTCGCAAAAAAAAAATTGAAAATAATACAAAATAAAACTAGGATTTAGCCCATAAAACGGTAACATCATTAAAGGGGCCATGAAACAGATTTCGGGCTGGGATAAACGAATTTAGTTAGAAATTTTATCAGTAGCATATCGTTTAGTGTTCCAAAATAACGAAAGGAGAAAGTCAAAAACCTGATTTTTGGTACGGAAATATGAACACATGGCGGACTATTTCGTACCTTTTTCCCTTCGAAATCCCTACGCCACTTTCACTGTGATACATCCGCGGTACCCACATCACGCCACACGGCACCCTACCTCACTATATTCCCTTCACCGCTAAGCTGACAGTGCTTTGGGAGCTACGCATTTCCCGGACCAAACAGCCGCCTCCCTTTCATCGCCAGACCCCATTCTCTACGCGTGGGTATGCGCAAGGGAACATGATCACGTGGTACAAGGTAGTAGTCAGGCTGGCCCAACGAGCACGTAGCTTCCGTAGTACTGTCACCTTAAGGGTTAACGCGGTGAGGAAAAGGACTTTTTGTCCGAGTTTTGAGTGACCGGCTAATCTTCTTGGGCAGTGGTTTTCAAATGGGGGTCCGCGAACCCTTTGGGGTCCGCGAAGGTATTCTAGGGGTCCGCGAAGCCCAGCCTCATCAGTCAAGCCCGGCAATAAAAGATGTATTTACCTTGTTAAATTGAGAAGGAATGTTCCTATTTCCGGGTGCGTTTTCTCGTGTGTATGTCAATCAGAGAAGTCTCCTTCACACTAGCCCTTAGTTATATCTACTTGTTAAATCATTATCATCTTTAACTTACACCTTTCCCTATTCATCACCATAAATGGGGTCCTCCGTCATCTCCGCTGATCTACAAGGAGTCCGCGAAACATCACTGGTTCAGAACCACTCTGCTAGAGGGAGAATGTTGATGTCCGGGTAGACAAACGAGGGTCTGAGCAAGAGGGGAGTTCCTCCTTTCTCTCTTCTTGAACTGTTTGGTACGCTCAAGTACGCTGCGCGATTTGTGAGTTGAGAAGGAAAGCTAAGAAGGAAAAGGTTGCAAAATAAGGACGAAGAAGCTTTAAACAAAACGTTACGAACTCCAAAGCATTACTCATACAACGATATCTCAAGTGGATGGCCGTACTTTTGGAAAAGTAGGGCGCAACCAAACGGGGA